ATATGAAAATCAATTAATGCAATACACCATATTAACAAAGGGAAGAATAAAAACCATATGATCATCTTAATAGACGCAGAAAAAGCTTTTGACAAAATTAAACACCCATTTATGATAAAAACTCTCCAGAAAGTGGGCATAGAGCGAACCTACCTCAACATAAGAAAGGCCATATATGACAAACCCACAGCAAACATCACTCTCATTGGTGAAAAACTGAAAACATTCCTTGTAAGATCAGGAACAAGACATGATGTCCAGTCTCACCACTATTATTCAACATAGCTTTGGAAGTCCTAGCCATGGCAATCAGAGAAGAAAAAGATATAAAAGAATACAAATTGGAAGAGAAGAAGTAAAACTGTCACTGTTTGCAGATGACATGATACTATATGTAGAGAATTCTAAAGATGCCAGCAGAAAATTACTAGAGCTAATCAATGAATTTGGTAAGGTTGCAGGATACAAAATTAATGCACAGAAATCTCTTGCATTCCTACACACTAACAACGAAAGATCAGAAAGAGAAATTAAGGAAACAATCCCATTCACCATTGCAACAAAAGGAATAAAACACCTAGGAATAAACCTACCTAAGGAGGTAAAAGAGCTGTACTCAGAAAACTATGACCCTGATGAAAGAAATCAAAGGTAACACAAAAAGATGGAGAGATATACCATGCTCTTGGATTGGAAGAACCAATGTTGTGAAAATGACTATACTACCCAAAGCAATCTACAGATTCAATGCAGTCCCTATGAAATTACCAATGGCATGTTTTACAGAACTAGAACAAAATATTTCACAATTTGTATGGAGACACAAAAGACCCCAAATAGCCAAAGCAATCTTGAGGGGAAAAAATGGAATTGGAGGAATCAAGCTCCCTGACTTCAGACTATACTACAAAGCTACAGTAATCAAGACAGTATGGTACTGGCACAAAAATAGAAGTATAGATCAATGGAACAGGATAGAAAGCCCAGAGATAAACCCATGCACCTATGGTCACCTTATCTTTGATAAAGGAGGCAAGAATATACAATGGAGAAAAGACAGTCTCTTCAATAAGTGGTGCTGGGAAAACTGGACAGCTACATGTAAAAGAATGAAATTACAACACTCCCTAACACCATACACAAAAATAAACTCAAAATGGATTAAAGTCCTAAATGTAAGACCAGACACCATAAAACTCTTAGAGGAAAACATAGGAAGAACACTCTCTGACATAAATCACAGCAAGATCTTTTTTGACCCACCTTCTAGAGAAATGGAAATAAAAACAAAAATAAACAAATGGGACCTAATGAAACTTACAAGCCTTTGCACAGCAAAGGGAACTATAAACAAGATGAAAAGACAACACTTAGAATGGGAGAAAACATTTGCAAACGAATCAATGGACAAAGGATGAATTGCCAAAATATATAAACAACTCATGCAGCTCAATATTAAAAAAACAAACAACCCAATCAAAAAATGCGCAGAAGACCTAAACAGACATTTCTCCAAAGAAGACATACAGATGGCCAAGAGGCACATGAAAAGCTGCTCAACATCACTAATTATTAGAGAAATGCAAATCAAAACTACAATCACCTGATACTGGTTAGAATGGGTATCATCAGAAAATCTACAAACAACAAATGCTGGAGAGGGTGTGGAGATAAAGGAACCCTCTTGTACTGTTGGTGGGAATGTAAATTGATACAGCCACTATGGATAACAATATGGGGATTCCTTAAAAAACTAAAAGTAGAATTACTATATGACCCAGCAATCCCACCTCTGGGCATATACCCAGAGAAAACCATAATTCAAACAGACACATGCACCCCAATGTTCATTACAGCACTATTTACAATAGCCAGGTCATGGAAGCAAGCTAAACGTCCACTGATAGACGAATGGATAAAGAAGATGTGGTACATATATACAATGGAATATTACTCAGCCATAAAAAGGAACAAAATTGGGTCATTTGTAGAGACGTGGATGGACCTAGAGACTGTCATACAGAGTGAAGTAAGTCCGAAAGAGAAAAACAAAGATTGTATATTAACGTATAGATGTGGAATCTAGAATAATGATACAGATGAACCAGTCTGTAGGCAGAAATAGAGACACAGAGGTAGAGAACAAATGTATGGACACCAAGAGGGGAAAGTAGGGGGGGCAGTGGTATTGGTGGGATGAATTGGGAGATTGTGTTGGACATATATATACTAATATGTATAAAATAGATAACTAATAAGAACCTGCTGTATAAAAATAAAATAAAATAAAATTCAAAAAAAAAAGGAAATACATTCACAGGCCAGATGCCATCAAAAAAAATAAAATTCGGGTTATGGAGTTATGGTGGGCAAGGTACAAATGCAAGGCTCTAGGACGTGGCATATTATTTCTATAATTATTCTTAGTCTCTTAGGTATTCAAGAAATTATACTAATCAATTTACATTGGTGTTAACTTCTGATATAAATGAATTGTTATAAATTCTCTGTAAGGTAAATATTATCATATGCATTTTACAAATAAGAACATCGGTGCTGAAAAGTTTATGCAGGTTGTGCAATTTTAACTCAAGCCTATATAAATGGAAGGCTTATACTCTTTCTAGGACTCCATATTTCTTCTGTCTAATACACTATGCTATGCCCAATAGGGTATACCATCTTCCTTTTGAAACTTTTCTGTCAGCTATTATGGCACTGAATTCTGTTGCTTTGCTCCTATTGCTCAAACACCTCTGTAGTCTTTATTTTTGATCCTGACTCTTCTGAATATAAGCATCTCACACATTTCTACCCTAAGAAGCCTCTGTTTTCTCCTCCCTTGTCTATCTTAAATCCAGCAACTTTAAATCATCGGATTTCTATTGCCAGTTCTCTGAACTAAGTTTCTAGTTCTGCTTTGAGCTCCAGAACTAAAATCTCCAATTTCCTGTGAGATATCTCCATCTGATTGACTTATGTTGGTCATGTCCACAACTACAACACATGACAGCAAGGAAATAACACTCCCTTCATAAATAAATTTCCCAAGAATGCCTGTCTCAGATTCCCTCATAAGAACCCTCAGACAGGCAATTCTATACATTGCTTCCTGAGTCATTTTTTAAAATGAAAATAATGTTATGTATACTATGGCTATGTAAGATGTTAACGTCAGAGAAGCTTTTTTTAAATCAATTGTCCAACCTTTCTACTGAATAAAAGTCTAAAATTAGTTAAAAATAAAAAAGTTAAGAAAAAGAAGTACAAAGTTCTTTAAAAAATAAAATAGTGTTTGAGCAGATCATGCCACTTTCCTCAAAATCCCCAGTGGCTTGCTTCCCTTAAAGCTAGAATAGAATCCAGTCCTTATCAGTGTGTTCTAGGTCCTGGATGATCTGACTTTGGTCACCTTGTCACTCTCACATCTACTATTCTCCCGAGTTGATCATATGCTTCTAGGCATACAGCCATCCCTTGGTGTCTGCAGGGGATTGGTTATAGGATCCCCCACGAATACCAAAACCTGCAAACGCTCAAGTCCTTTATATAAAATGGCATATTATAGTCAGCCCTCGGTATCTGTGGGTTCAGTAAATTCAACCTACCATGGATACGGAGCGCCAACTGTCCTAACATTACTGCTGTTTCTTACACATGCTAAGTTCCTTCCTAACTCATAACTTGCCATTCTGTCTACTTGGAAAGCTCTTTCTTCACATAATCACATAGTTTGCTATCTCTCTTTATTCAGTCATCTTCTCAAATATCACCTTTCTAGAGATGACTACTTTGATAATCATAACTAAAATAGTACCTTCCCATAACTGCCCATCTCTTATATTTTGTTTTCTATATAGCTTTTATAATTACCTGACATGATGTATCCTACATATTCTATCCTATACAGGAAAGTAAGTTTCCTGAGAATTGGAACTCTCTTCACAAGGGCAGGAACTTATTTCTTCAGCATCTGGAACAATTTCTGTCACCAGGTGAGTGTTCAATTAGTATTTGTTAAATCACTGAATTGAGACACACCTACATAAATAAACTAAATTCCAATGATTGTTCCTTCCTATAAGAGTAAAAACAATCTACTTGGAGGAAAAGGCATAAGGCACATTAAAAGTAATAAAAATATAAGTACCAAATATAAAGTTTCAACTTTATATTGTTAAATAACATATGCTATAGAAAGCCTAATTGTTAAATAACGTATGCTAAGCCTAATTGCAAAATAACATATGCTATAGACAATGTATTGTGTCCTTTTTGATGGGGATGTAGTGGGAGGGGGTGGGGGATGGCACAAAAGTCTCTGAGGCTTCTGCAGTATGAAAATATTTTATGAGGAAGTACTAAACTTAGACCTTACAAGACTGGTAAGATTCCTCTAGGTACACAAAAGTTGGAAGGGCATTCTAGATGAGGGATCTGGGAGGAAAATGGCATAGGAGAAAGAACAGGAATGCAGAAAAAAGACCTGAGCTCCTGAACAGTCCTGGAAGTACAGAGAGTGTAGACTGGTAGTTTAGATGACATGGCTGGAAGGGAGATTAAAGCCAGATTGAAAAGAGCTGTGAGTGTCTTTCACAAAAGTTGTTTATATGTTCCCACCTGTCTATCCATTTAGTCTCTCATCCTCTAGGAATATTACCATCTATCTCAATATCATTAACACATAGCTGTAAAAACACCCTAACACAATGCTATAAACTGTCAAAATTTCATGCAGGTGAAATCCTACTTATAGCCTTATAACTTAGGTAATTGTCAAATAATATCCCCATAATATCACCAGCAGTATGGTAAGAACCTGACTTTCAAGTTGGGAAAGTACAACATGAAATGTTAATGACTTTTATAAAGTCATACTATAAATTATTTTATCTGCTTGTAAAAATGATTATATTGCCAACAAAACTAGAAAGAAAGGCAATACTATTACACTTAGCACACTACTTCACATTTTAGACTGTGTGGGACACATATCATACCTGTGGGTCTCTGTAAATTCTTTTGTACTAAAATTCTTCTCAGAGTACCGTCCATGGCCGCTTCTTCTATGTGGGAGTGGTCCCCAACAATCGTCCAGTACATCATCCTGAAGAGATAGGTCAAGTTGGTTAGCCTGGTGAATGTGCTTAGCCTGGTGAATGTGCTGTTACAACCCAAAACAGGGTCTCTTCAGACCCTGTGCATCAGAATCACCTTAGAGTCCCTGAAAATTGCCTGAAAAAGCAGATTTCTGGACCCAACTCTAAACCTACAGAGTGAGTACCTCCAAGAGGGGGCCCCAGGAGTCAACAATGTAAAAGTCGTACCTATTCCCTAAAATTTGAGAGCCACTGTTTAATAGGCTCACTTGATAGGCAAAGTTCAATTTTGAAAATTTCCTTAAAATTTTAGAAGAAAAATATTTCTAACACTTGAAATTATCTTCTTATCATGACAGAATATTCATTTTACTATAGATGATGCATCAATATGCTTTTGTTTTTGATACAGTAACTATTTTCTCAGACATAAATAATTTTCTCACTTAGAAGACACCACATAACATAATTCTAGTAAGTAAACAGCAGTTGCCTCTTTTTACTCAGGATCTAATGATCCACTTTATGGGTGATTAGGAGTTTTATTTAACATTTCCCTATTTCCTTTTTGGTCATTGCTTATAAATAAGAAATAAGAGAGTAAAAAAGGAAAAAATCAAGCCGAGTAAAGGGAATATTTGTGTTAAATTGTTTAAATTTGTTTATACATATGCCTCCATTTTTTATTACCAGAAATAGCCCGTCACTAATATTCTACACTTAACATGTTTAATGTTATTTTTAATGTCTCAAAAATTCGATTTTAGATTAACTACAGTGGTTATGTTTTTCACATCAGTTTCATTAATCTGAATGCACACATAACATATACACTGAATGCACACATAACATACACTAAATGTATAAAGTAGCAAATGTTAAGGAAGAAGAATATATTTTGCACCACCATTTGGTGTGAAAAGGACATGCTTTTGTACAGAAGGGGTAGAGGGATTTTCAGAAGTCTTGTGAATCTATTATACGTTGAACACTCTTCTAGAAACAACACTACAGAGCATGGGTGGGACAATCTATAAAAATGGATACTCATATCAAGAAATATAAATAACCAGGTCATTAACCTACCCTCTTTTAGGATTTACAGCAATAGCATAGGGTTCTCCAGCCATATTTGTTAAGAGTCTGGTGCAGTTGGGGCCATTCAGCTGTCCTACGTTGATAGAGTATCTCAGACTGGTCCAGTGAGTAGTGTAGTAACTGAACCAGTGCATTCTAGAATGGTCAGTCCAATAAATATTTCCAGCAACCCAGTCAACTGCAACATCCCTGGGCCTTTTAAATTCAGGACACTAAAAGAAAACAAAACAACAAACCACAGTATTTTCAAAAGCAAATTGGCGGAGTTTTCTATATCTATACATTGAGATTGTTTGGGAATCTTCTTAACATGGTCAGGTGTTAATTGTTACATAGATTTTTTTAAATCCCCAACATACTTTATTTTATTTTTAGTTTTTATAGATGTATAATTGCACAAATCCTAAGTATACAACTCACTGGAGCTTTACCTATCACTGCCCCTGTTTAACCACCACCCTACTAGAATACTTCCAGAATTGTAGAAGGTTCACTTGTGACCTCTCCCAGTAAGTATTTCTCTTAGAATAAGCATAATCCTAACATCTAAATCACAGATTAGCTTAAACAAATCCACATAAACAGAATCATACTCTTCTATTCCTGACTTCTTTGACTCAACATCATGTTTGTGAAATACACCCATATTGGTGTGCATGTCAGTTATTAATTACTTTTTATTTCTGGATAATATTTCAGAATATGAAATATTACTCATGAATATATATCAATTTGTTTACCATTTTACTGGTAATATATATTTTGCTTGTTTACAATTTTAGGCCACTACAAATAAAATTATGAATATTCCTTTATGTGTCTTTTGGTGGACACAAACTCTCATTTCTGTTGAGTATTTAATAAGAAATAGAACGGTTGAGTCTTAAGATATACTTATGATTGCTTAAATAGATAGGGCTAGAATTTTTTTTTCAAAGAGTCTGTACCAATATTCACTCTTTTCAGGAATTTAAGAAAGTTCCAGTTGCTCTACATCCTTACCATATATAATTTGATTTAAAATTGAAACAGAAAGTTAATACAAATAGACACATTTAGAGAGATACTATATTTAAATGTCTTTTGAGGAAAGTTACAATCTCTGTCATTTATATTAAATCTGCTAGCTTGGATTTTCTGTGCAATAGTATATTACTGAAATATTGTGAGACAAAGGTAAGAGGGTTCATTGGGAATAGACAGCAAGGAAAATAACGTATGCTGTGCCCTTCAATTAACTTGATCACTTTGAGCAGGAACTAGTGTAGTAATTAATTTGACGTGGTCAGGTTTATTGTGCATAAACAAAAGTGAGAAGAAATTCTCAGGGGTATTATTATGAAGAATAGAAACAATTATTTGAAGGTCATTATAACTAGACATGTAGTCAATGTGTAAGAGCATTGTTAGGACCTGGTAACCAGTGGAAATATGGGTTTTTAACACATGACTGTTTCTTCTGTGATTTACCAGTGAACACATTTTATTAAAGAGTGGGCTTGGATTAAAAGAAAACAAACCGAACTTCTCAAAAAGAACGTGAGATGCCAAGAAACAGGAATTAAAAGTCACTGTCTGCCGTGTGATTACTGAGATCTCAAAGAAGGAAAAATACGGCTTGAACTAAACACAGAACTCACAGAAATTTCTAATGACCTTTATTATCAATCTTTTCACTTATTGGTTTAAAAACTAAAATTATGAAATTTTACAGTAATCTACTTCTCAACTCTAATAAATACTCTCCATCTACCCAGTGATATCTCATAGCTAACTGAAGTTAAATAAAAGCACTCTACGATACAACATGGTCTAAACATGCCATATAAATAATATTCATAAATGGGTAGACTATAAAGATTTGTCCTAGCCAAAACACAAAATCATTTTCAAGTGTTCCAATATTATGTAAATTAATTGTAATTCTTTTTTTTTTTTTTCTGATTTGGCAGCACTTAAAAGTAAATATATCGGACGAGGGGAAGATGGCGGAAGAGTAAGACGCAGAGATCACCTTCCTCCTCACAGATACACAAGAAATACATCTACACGTGGAATAACTCCTACAGAACGCCTACTGAACGCTGGCAGAAGACCTCAGACCTCCCAAAAGGCAAGAAAGTCCCCACGTACCTGGGTAGGGCAAAAGAAAAAAGAATAAACAGGGACAAAAGGATAGGGACGGGACCTGCACCAGTGGGAGGGAGCCGTGAAGGAGGAAATGTTTCCACACACTAGGAGCCCCTTTGCGGGCAGAGACTGCGGGAGGCAGAGGGGGGAAGCTTCGGAGACAAGGAGGAGAGCGCAGCCACCGGGGTGCGGAGGGCAAAGCGGGGAGATTCCCGCACAGAGGATCGGTGCTGACCGGTACTCACCAGCCCGAGAGGCTTGTCTGCTCACCCGCCGGGACGGGCAGGGCTGGGAGCTGAGGCTCGGGCTTCAGGGAGAGGTCGGAGTGCAGGGAGAGGACTGGGGTTGGCTGCGTAAACACAGCCTGAAGGGGGTAGTGCACCACGGCTAGCCGGGAGGGAGTCCGGAAAAAGTCTGCACCTGCTGAAGAGGCAAGAGACTTTTTCTTCCCTCTTTGTTTCCTGTTACGCGAGGAGAGGGGATTAAGAGCGCTGCTTAAAGGAGCTCCAGAGACTGGCGCAAGCCGCGGCTAAAAGCGCGGACCCCAGAGACGGGCATGAGACACTAAGGCTGCTGCTGCCGCCACCAAGAAATCTCTGTGCAAGCACAGGTCACTATCCACACACCCCTTCCGGGGAGCCTGTGCAGCCTGCCACTGCCAGGGTCCCGGGATCCAGGGACAACTTCCCCTGGAGAACGCACCTCAGGCTGGTGCAACATCACGCAGGCCTCTGCCACCGCAGGCTCGCCCCGCACTCCGTACCCCTCCCTCCCCTCGGCCTGAGTAAGCCAGAGTCCACGAAGCAGCCGCTCCTTTAACCCCGTCCTGTCTGAGTGAAGAACAGACGCCCTCCAGCGACCTCCACGCAGAGGCGGGGCCAAATCCAAAGCTGAGCCCTGGGAGCTGTGAGAACAAAGAAGAGAAAGGGAAATCTCTCCCAGCAGCCTCAGAAGCAGCGGATTAAAGCTCCACAATCAACTTGATGTACCCTGCATCTGTGGAATACATGAATAGACAACGGATCATCCCAAATTGAGAAGGTGGACTTTGAGAGCAAGATTTATGATTCTTTCCCCTTTACCTCTTTTTGTGAGTGTGTATGCCTCTGGGTGAGATTTTGTCTGTATAGCTTTGCTTCCACCATTTGTCCTAGGGTTCTATCCGTTTTTTTTTTTCTTTAAAAAAAGTTTTCTTAGTAATTATTTTATATTTTAATAACTTTATTTTTTATCTTACTTTATTGTATTTTATCTTCTATCTTTCTTTCCTTCCCTCCCTCCTCCCTCCCTCCTTTTCTTCCTTCCTTCCTTCCTTCCTTCCTTCCTTTCTTTTTTTCTTTCTTTTTTTTCTTCTTATTTTTCTTTCTTTCTACTTTCTCTCCCTTGTATTCTGAGCCGTGTGGATGAAAGACTCTTGGTGCTGCAGTCAGGAGTCACTGCTATGCCTCTGAGGTGGGAGAGCCAACTTCAAGACACTGGTCCACAAGAGACCTCCCAGCTCCACATAATATCAAATGGTGAAAATCTCCCAGAGACCTCCATCTCAACACCAGCACCCAGCTTCACTCAATGACCAGCAAGATATAGTGCTGGACACCCTATGCCAAAGAACTAGCAAGACAAGAACACAACCCCACCCATTAGCAGAGAGGCTGCCTAAAAACATAATAAGTCCACAGACAACCCAAAACACACCAACAGACGTGGAACTGCCCACCAGAAAGACAAGGTCCAGTCTCTTCCACCAGAACACAGGCACTAGTCCCCTCCACCAGGAAGCCTACACAACCCACTGAACCAACTTTAGCCACTGGGGACAGACACCAAAAACAACGGGAACTACGAACCTGCAGCCTGCAAAAAAGAGACCCCACAGTAAGATAAGCAAAATGAGAAGACAGAAAAACACACAGCAGGCGAAGGAGCAAGATAAAAACCCACCGGACCTAACAAATGAAGAGGAAATAGGCAGTCTACCTGAAAGAGAATTCAGAATAATGATAGTAAAGATGATCCAAAATCTGGAAATACAATAGACAAAATGCAAGAAACATTTAACAAGGACCTAGAAGAACTAAAGATGAAACAAGCAACGATGAACAACACAATAAATGAAATTAAAAGTACTCTAGATGGGATCAATAGCAGAATAACTGAGGCAGAAGAACGGATAAGTGACCTGGAAGATAAAATAGTGGAAATAACTACTGCAGAGCAGAATAAAGAAAAAAGAATGAAAAGAAATGAGGACAGTCTCAGAGACCTCTGGGACAACATTAAACACAACATTCAAATTATAGGGGTTCCAGAAGAAGAGAAAAAGAAATGGACTGAGACAATATTCGAAGAGATTATAGTTGAAAACTTCCCTAATATGGGAAAGGAAATAGTTAATCAAGTCCAGGATGCACAGAGACTCCCATACAGGATAAATCCAAGGAGAAATATGCCAAGACACATATTAATCAAACTGTCAAAAATTAAATACAAAGAAAACATATTAAAAGCAGCAAGGGAAAAACAAATAACACAAAAGGGAATCCCCATAAAGTTAAAAGCTGATCTTTCAGCAGAAACTCTGCAAGCCAGAAGGGACTGGTAGGACATATTTAAAGTGATGAAGGAGAAAAACCTGCAACCAAGATTACTCTACCCAGCAAGGATCTCATTCAGATTTGATGGAGAAATCAAAACCTTTGCAGACAAGCAAAAGCTGAGAGAGTTCAGCACCACCAAACCAGCTTTACAACAAATGCTAGAGGAACTTCTCTAGGCAAGAAACACAAGAGAAGGAAAAGACCTACAATAACAAACCCAAAACAATGAAGAAAATGGGAATAGGAATATACATATCGATAATTACCTTAAATGTAAATGGACTAAATGCTCCCACCAAAAGACACAGATTGGCTGAATGGATACAAAAACAAGACCCATATATATGCTGTCTACAAGAGACCCACTTCAGACCTAGGGACACATACAGACTGAAAGTAAGGGGATGGAAAAAGATATTCCATGCAAATGGAAACCAAAAGAAAGCTGGAGTAGCAATTCTCATATCACAAAAAATGGACTTTAA